ATTCCGACGGATGAGCCGCTTCTGTCGCAAGATCACCGCTCGCTGCTCAGCGATCACCGACTGAGCGTGCCGCAAGGGTTGAGTACCGGTGGAACTGTACAACCGCACCGACTCCTGCAGCTGTTCGAAGTGTTTGGAAGCGATGCCCTGAAGAGTAACGAACGCCGCATCCCTCTCAGAAATGGATCGAAGAAGGACGTCGATCTCGGCGTCCCGATCCAAGACTTGCTGATGGTGGAGCTGGGCCTGACTCAACGCAGCGTCGACCTTGCTCTGCTCAGCTGCGATGGCCCGAGCAAGTTTCGCCTCACTCAGAGCTACAGCCTTCCGCAGCGACGCGAGGAGATTAGCCGATTGCTTGGCAGCAGCCTCCAATCGAGACACTTGCTGTTGAGCCGACGAGAGCTGAGTTGACAAGTCGACATTACTGAGAGCAAGCGAGTCCAGTCGCCGAGTCAATGCGCGGTTCTCCTCCTGAACAGCTTGGTTGTCAGCTTGGAGATCGCCGATGATCTTGGGGTAATCAAGAGCGGCGTAATTGCCTTTCAGGATATCCAACAGTTCCCCCGCGGAAGCAGCATGCAAAATCGCTCGCCGCTGTACAGGATCGGAGGGTTCCACGGAACGAGTGAATCCGTAAGCCATGAGCCTCGCCAAGAAGGTCAATTCTTCTCGTCGATCATGCCCTTGCTCGTTAATTCTGGCCATGAGGGAGTCAAGACTCACTGGAGCAGCCGAGCTTGGCTGATTGGTGGCGCCCGAAGTGGTGTCGCCTGGCAAGCTCGGTGGACCAGGAAGGCGCACGCGAGAAGACCCCGCCGACTCCGCGTCAGACTCATGGGAAGTTGTCAGGTCGACCAGCCCAGCTTCATGCCGGTCGCTGACCCCACGAGTACCGACGGGTCGAGGAATCGACTCAGCTGGCACGCCTTCACCTCGACGAGGAGTTGGAGAAGAAGGATGGTTCCACGGGTTGTGCTAGAACAACATGCGAAGAGTAAGGAGCTGCCAAGTGAGTGACAGCGGAAGCAACGAACGTACCAAAGAAGGTGGTGGGGAGCCGCGAGACGTCATCAGCCGAGTACGGACCAACGGTGGCAGAACAAAATGAAGGATTAAGACACTCACCAGCTCGGCTCGTATCATAACCGGGGCAGTTGTGGTGTAGGGATTTCCAGATTCGACCATACGCCGACCTACTTTAGGTCAAGAATCGGCTCGGTCTGATAACCCAGAGCTTAGGAGCCAAGGATCACGGTAAGTACTCGGCGATCTGTCCGGATATGCTATCCGGATAGCCGTTGAGCTCAACGGCCGCCTGAAGAGTCGGTAGAGATCCGAAACGACTACATTTCACTAGATATTTGTATGAGAAGCATAGGATTAAATAGGAGGAGCCGAAAAGGCTCCCAGAAGATAACAGAGCAGAATTTTCCTAGTCCAAGACAAGTGTACACTTTTCCGGTAAGTCCCTGCATAGGGCTGGATTATGCCTGCCGTCCATACTCGAGAGGCATAGCTTGTAGAGTATTGACTGGTAGCGCCAAGAGATTAGGTCGGTCCGGGTAGGACAAAGTCTCGCTACGCGCGAAAGAAAGTCCCGCATACTCAGCGGGCCGGTACGTCGGATAGCCCGGGTGCCGTAACACTTCTAGCTGAGCAGCCTCTGCGCTCGGTGACCTGTAAAAGCGCTCGCGCGCCGTCGTCCATCCTTTGGTGGAGGGCACAGGGTTGTGAACGAGCTCAGCCGAACCAAACTCGGCGGAGTCTCGGAAGTGATCTGACTTGGTTAGTCGGAACCGAGTGGAAGCGAGCCACTCGTCTGTCCCGGAAGGGCCGGACCGCGAGGGGACCACCCTCTGCGCAGGCCATACAAACCGCCGACCTAACTCGGCGATTCGTTGTGGTTTGTGTAAGGAATCCACATCTGACGATATTTGTGTGTTCTACTACACCACATACGCGAGCTTTGGATGCTTCGTATAATTATCACAGGGTCTTAATATCTCCAGCTGGTCACTCGTCTACGCAGAATACTATCAGCAAGTTGGCCCAATCGCGATTCCTGTCGCTTTCGCTTGAGCCCACTTGTCTTGGCTGTACATGCTGCAGCAGCTTGTGGCTTCTTTTCTCGATGCGCATGAAGCAGTCGTCGTCTCTCTCAGCTGCACTTTGGGCCAATCTTATTGCTTGTCT